GCCCCCGCGTACTGCCGATGCTGTCGCCCTTTTGGGTCGAAGCCGGGGCAGTTTCGGGCAGCGGGGCTTGCGGGCTTGGCGGTGCTCTCCGGAGGGGCTGCGGTGGGTCCCACCCTCGCCTGAAGTTCCCACGCGTGGCGTGAGCTGCAACAGGCCTGGGGAAACTGAGGTACCTGGAAACTAGGTTTTTTTGTTTGTTTTTTAACTTTAAGGGAGTCACTGTGGAATATTCTAGACCAATATATTTTAAGTTGTAAGCAAGATCGATGTGAATAAATAGAACTGCCTTTGCAAGTATATTTTTGTATTGGTTTTGTATCTTGTACACAATTTTTTTCAAAACAATGTATGGGTTTTTTTTGATCTATGGAAGTGACTGGCGGCTTTCAGCCTCTTCAGTTGTTTTCGTATCCCCCAAGTACTAAGGAGATGTGAATGACTTTGAACAGTGAAAGAAGGTTCCTCGTGTTTAACTTGAAAATGCAACTGAGTCAGTAAAATATTTTCTGAAGAACTTGCCGTTAGAAGCCAAAAGATCAAAGTTGCATTCCTTCCTCCCCTGCGTGACTGTTAGAAAAATAATCTAAGACCTCTGTGAAATCAGTTGCTTTTGCATAAGAGGCTTACTTTGAAGGTTGTTTGTGTTTTTCTTACTTGGTGGTTTTGGGGTTTTTTGTTTGGCTGTTTTTTTGTGTGTTGTTTTTTTTTTTTTTTTTTTTGGCCTGATTGTCTTCTCGGGTACACTTCTGAGATGAAACTTATTTCAATAATTAAAAAGTATTTTAGCAGTTACAGATGTGAGAAGTTACATTCCTTTCTAGAGCACTAGACCTGCAGACTTCGGCCCGACTGAGCAGTGAACTTCAGTAGCGAGGTTTTCATAAGCTGCTAGACTTGCCTGTTTGTTTGCTTGCTCAATTTTTGTTACTGCTGTTGTACGAGGCCTGTTGCAGTAGTGCATTTTTTTCTGCTTTGCATGCTACCTGTGACATTGGCAGTGCTGCTGAATGGGCTTTGATATTCCTGCCAATTCTTCATTATCCCCAGTGAGAACTTCTGTTGGCCTCTGCCCTGTTTGGGAACCCACTTGGGGTATATTATATTTGTGGGTCTTTTGGCACAGATGCATATGTGATCAGAGATGTTCTTTTTCTACCTGTCAGGAAAGCTAGCTTATGTGAAAGATAAATACAAAGACTTGTTAAAAATTTTCTTGCTTGTTGATGATACGTGGTTAAGACCCTTTCTCCAGTAATTAATGTCTATGTAATGATTTTGTTAGGTATTTATTGCACAGTCAAGAGCTTCTGGAAGCCACCGAGATGTTGAAGATGAGGAGCTTACACGGATATTTGTTATGATACCAAAATCCTACGCAGAGGAAGACCTGCGAGAGAAGTTTAAGGTACTGATTTGCTATTTGTTAATTGTTGTTTTAAATTGCTTTTGTCGTAATTTATCAGAAGGGCTTACTGTATGGAACTTGAATGCATTTTCAAATATTGTAAATCAGTATGTTTTTTAATTGTTCTAGATGTATGGAGACATTGAATATTGCAGCATTATTAAAAACAAGACTACTGGAGAAAGTAAAGGTTTGGGCTATGTGAGGTATTTAAAACCATCGCAAGCTGCCCGAGCGATTGAAGAGTGTGATCGAAGTAAGAATCTGACTGAATTCTTTCAAGTTTTTTGCAATAAGTGTGTATCATCATAAATGTACCTTTAATTTTTCTTTTTTTTTGCAGGTAAATTAATTATGATGTAAACATGTCTTGAGGCAAATAAAAAAAATAGTATTTCTAACATTCATTGAGAACGGTCACTTGATCACATTCTTGCAGGACCAAACTGCAAGTAAGATCAGTGAAAAAAGTTTGGAAATGGATACAGAGTTTTGCTTCATGCATTATTATTGGCTTGTAATGTAGGCTTCATACTCAGGAAAACATTATTTTAGTGTATCCCTGGGAATATGCATATTTAGTCAAATGTATTTTATGTAAAATGATTTTATATATAAAAATATATTTGATAACCCATAGGGATTCTGTTGTGATTAAATTTATTTAAGAACAAACTCATCCTAATTGAAGTTTGGGGTTTTCTTTTTTGTTGTTTGTTTTTATTTAATGTCATGATTAATCTGTAACAGAATGAAAGACTTTGTATGCTTTGTGACCAACCATTTGTCATTTATGCTCTAGTACCAAAAAGGTGTTAATGAATTTGAGCGAGTCCAGTGGAAGGCCACCAAGGTGGTCAGGGGCTGAAGCACATGACTTAGGAGGAGAGAATGAGAGAACTGGACTTGTTTATCCAGGAGAAGAAAGGCTTTTGGGGAAACCTAACAGCAGCCTTCCAGTCTGACCTCCTGTTCAATGTTTGCTTAATCACAAATATGAAGTAACTTGGTGTGTGCATGTGCTTTTTTTGTTGTTATTCTTGTGTGGTGTTAGGTTTTTTTTTTTTTTCCTTCAGTAATACATGTGGTTCTACCTAGTATCTGTCATAGGTGGTTCTGCAAAAATTACATTTGTGACCATTCTTGCATAGGAATACGAGTCTGAGATTACTTAGCAGTTAGATTTTATTTCCTTTCTTCTGTCAGGTTAAAATGAAATTAGTTGGATAGCCTGAGAGTGATACCTACTTATTTCATAAAAGCAAAACCTAGATCGGTGCAAAACATACGTGAACTGCTGTTATGGCACGGAAGTTCAGGTCATTGCCTCTGGAGTGTCTCTGAATCCTGCCAGGTATCACAGAGTGGTTGAAGTTGGGAGGGACCTCTGGAGGTCATCTTGCCCAAGCCCTCTGCTCAAGCAGGGTCACCTGGGCACCTTGGTTGCCCGGGACAGTGCCCAGATGGCTTTTTAATATCTCCCAAGGGGGGAGATTCCACAGCGTCTTTGGGCAACTTGTGCCAGTGCTCAGTCACTCTCACAGCTAGTAGGCTCTGTTGTGGTTAACCTGTCATTAGGAGTAGTTATATGAGGAGGTTTTTAACTTTCACACAATTATTATGGCAGACTTCAAGAGTTACGGATCAGTTATTTTCCTAAAGTGAGCACTTACCGGGTTTTCTGAATAATATGTTTTTAAATATGGTACTTGGAGAATGTGGATCTGGTCAGATAATTCAGATGGGCTGAGGCGTTGCTATATGTGTGGTTATTTCTTTCAGGCTACAGGGCCATTTTGGCTGAACCTAAGAATAAGTCATCTGAGTCTTTTGAACATGATTATTACAGTAATAACACGAGGCAAGAACCAAGAGGAAATATGCTTCCGTTTTGTAAGTCACAGTTTTTATACTAAAAATGATTTGTAGTCTTGAGTCTGGTCACAAAATAAGAATGCTCTTTGAAAGAAGGGAAGCTGACGGAGGCTTAAGTCAACACTTACAGTAGATTGGATGTTGGAGTTGGAAATGAGCCAGGCATTTCATTTCTATGTTTTTATGGCTCACTTTGCTCCAGTTGGCTGATTATATTTGTGATCTGCATTGGTGGAATAAACATGTTACCTTTTAGTATATAATTGACTTGGATTACTTTTAAAAGTTGAATGAAAAATATTTATGAAATGAATGCATGCTAGTGTGATGACTCAAATTATTTATTTTTATGTCAATTCTTGAGGTGGGCAGCCAGAGTTTTGTAGTTTTGAAAAAAATGAGAGCAGAATTCAAGAGTCGATCTCCAAACGCCTGTCGGTGGTATCACGGCTTCCCTTCGTCCAAGAGCAGCTGTTCGCCCTCTTTGATCTAGTTCCAGGACTGGAATATTGTGATGTTCAGCGAGATCCTCATACCAATAGTGGTAAGTAAAAGTACAAAAAATTTTTTTTTTTTTTTTCTATGAAGTGAATGACTTTTAATTGTACTTCAGTTCATTTGTATTGCAAAATGCAGTACACTTGTTGGAAAAAAACTAATATTTATGTGTCAATGGTTGCTGCTATCACTGGTGCATAAAGACAAAAACTCAGTTTTGTTTGAATCCCTGTTTACAGATAGCCTGAAATACCTTTATTTTCAGATAATAGAATATCAGGAAGGACAGAATCAAAACTATGAAAAGTGGATTTTGGTCAAATTAATAGTTTTGAGCAGAATAAATGGAAAAAGGTTTCAAAAATTATTAGACATCTAATTTAAATGTTCTCTGAACAGATCTTTCGAGGTTTCATCTTGAAATGGGGAGGGAGCATCTGCCTCTGTAGAAGCTGACATGAGTATACTGGATTAAATAATTCAAAGACAAATCATGTTTTGTATTGGAAGGATTGATTTGGTTTCCATCTTGTTGTTTTGCTGTTGCTGAGAAAAATGTGGAAGAGGTCTCTTCCCCGAGAAGCTTGACATGGAAATGATTCAGAGAATTAAAATGTAACTTTACAGTACTTGAGATTCACTGTTGATGGGATAATTGCATTAGAATGAAACTGTATATGTTTTTATTTCTAATTCAGGGTTAGGAAAGTAGACACATTTTCACTTGTGTTGCTTTATTACAAGCTTTTCAGGTATAGCTGATCTGTCACTAGTTAATTTCACAGAAGTTTTCTTCACAAATACTACTGGTGTTGCTATTCAGTAATGTAATGTGTGGTGAAAAGACTCAAGAATTTTGTATGACTGATGTGCAGTTTAATCATATTGCTTTATATGAGTGTAGCCTTTTCTTAGGCTTTACCTGTATTGTACTGAAACTGTGTGTGCTGTATTTGTAGGGTATGCTGTGATTCAGTACAGTACTGCTGCGTCAGCTATATATGCCAAGTATAAATTACATGGTTTTGAGTATCCTCCTGGAAATAGATTAACTGTCATTTTCCTAGAAGATGGGAGCGATAGCTCAGAGTAAGTACCAATACATAGAGACAGAAAGTTGTAACTTGTGCTCTGGAGACCAAAATTTAAAATAAATTAATTTTTAACCTAAGAAGTAACAGCAATGTCACTGTTGTCTTGTTTCATTCTTCTAGGTAGTATTGTTTTGGAATTTAGGTATATTGAGGTGGTTTTTTTTTTAGTGGTTTAGAATAAGCCTTTTGAAACTTACTGGTCTTTGATTAAAAAAAGATTAAAATATATATAAAGATACAATGGAAAAGTCTTGTATTTGGCAAGAATCTTTGTAGATGGTTCTGCAATATGTAACAGCTTGGTTGGAATGTGTCTGAAGTTTTGTATTAAAATCAGATTTATCTACTTGATCTCTTTGTGTTTGCAGTACTGCAAGTAGTAGCCTTGCAAAGCACGTATGTAGAGTAAAACTGTTGGGTGTTGAGGATCCAATATCCCCGCTGTATGGGGATTGTTAGGTTTTACTTTGACTGTCTCTAATCTGTTCCTGTGATTTGAATGCTCATTACAAGTTGGAGCAGCTTAGGTACGCTCCTGCAGTGAGGCTTTTGGCATAGTTTCATACTAAAGGAATCTAGTTCATGTCAAAACTATTCTGGGATATGAATGAGGACAGTGGGGAGATTCACTTCAGAAGTGCATGCCTGATCTAAACTAAAAAAAATTCATTGCAACCATCCTTGTAAACAATTTCTTTCATTCTTCTTTTTTTTTCTGTTTCACCGTCCTACAACACAGGCTGTGAATCTGCAAAAAATGCAGTTGCTTTTTCTTATTCCACAACAGAACAAAGAAAAGTTACTGGAAAATGAGAGCTGGAAGTAAACTTTCTGTGATAATATTCTGACTTCTGAATTGAATCTCTGCGCTCTTTATTGAAACATGAAATTTTTCTGTCCCTACTGCCTTTTAGGCACCTTTCACAAAATGTAGTGGGCTTTGTAGAGTTTGATTTGTTGTGGGTTTTTTTGTTGTTGTTGGTTTGGTTTGGTTTTTGTTTGTTGGTTGTTTTTTTTTTTTTCCCTCTAGAGTGTTTAAAGAAGCAGGGTTTTGTATCTCTATGTAGAAATGTATGAATGTTTTCAGTGGAGTTGCAGCTAGGACGTATACTTTGAGATCATGTTTAGAGTGTCATGAAAGCCTGACTTGATTTTCGTTATCTACATGTGTTTACAGATTTCCAGAGATATTTAGATGTGCATTAAAACTTATTTTCTTTTGCTGAATTTAAGATTGCTGTAACTTAGCTCTTTCTTTAAAATAATTTATTATCACTTCTGCTTTCAGCCTCATCAGAAAAATGGCAACACAGCTAGTAACAGCACATGTGTCATCAGTGTTGCGGAATAGCAACGCAATTGTTCAGCAGTATAGGACGCCTCCTGTAAGTTAATATAATGGATACTGTTAATATTCTTCTGAATTGTTGTAAGAAACTTCAGCTTTATCAATAAGGAACCCTGCTCACTTTCTTCTGTAACTGTTTTAGATGCTACATTTTTAAGATAATACCGCTGGTTGGTTTGTATGTTTTTATTCCCTGTAAAGGTGTCTGACCTTACTTGGATTTATTGTCCAATTTAATGAAATAAACAAAGTAAACAAATTAATTAAGATGAGAACTGGTATAGCCTATTTATGTCCTGTGATGGGAACACAAATTGTAAATAAGGTAAAATGACACCCCACCCCTTCCATCGGTTAATTTATATTTGCATTTTTTCCCGTTTCAGCAGGCATTTGGAGGAACTTCTGGCTCCCAGTTGCTTCAACCCCAAACAGATGCCATACTTCCACCACACAAAAAAAAAGTTCCACCTGACACTTCTGTGAAGGAAAGGCTTTTCATACTTTTTCATCCCCATCCTTTACCTGTGAATGTATTGGAGGATGTGTTCTGGTAAGACTCGATTTACAAATAAGTGTTCTCTAACCAAAAAATTAACCATGAAATATTTAGAATAGATGTTGAAGATACAAAAGATTGTCATAATGAAAACTCTTTTCAGAAAAGACAGTGCACAGTGATCATTAAGTAAGAAGTGATGAATAGGTAACACTTGCTTTTTGAAACAAGTGTGTAATGGAATTCACCTTGACAAATTTCCACAGTAACTTAGGGGATTAAGTATAGGAAGGCTTTTTTTCCTCATATATCCTGAGACATTTTGATGGTTTGCATCTTACTGACACTATTTCAGCTGTCTTTTCACACTACCTCCCTATGAGGAGCAAAGACTTGAGACAATTTTTGTCAAAGTCAAATCTATAGTTCAGCTCTTCTCCAGCATTTTATCGTATTTATTTTTATTATACTCTTGAAGAAAAAGACATTTCCCATTTCTAATAGCTGGCATTTGCAAGAAGTCTTTGGAAAGTGAAAATATTTTGAAAGCACCAGGAGAGGAAAAGAAACAATACGCACTTATGTGGAATTTAAAACTGTACTTATTTGATATATTGGATTTTCTTCATCAGGTGCTGGAGAAGAAAAAGGCTATGCGCCCTAGTCTTGATGCTCGTGTAACTTCAGTATGGAGCAAGCAGACTATTTAATTTTTTTAAAAACTTTTTTAAGGAACTGTCTAGGAATCTCCTGAGGACTTGGAAAGCTGGGTTTTTCCATAAAGCTTTAGCACTTGCTTTCTGAGTCATTTCAGTGAGACCTTTTCAAAGATGAATCACAGCTAAGCAAGTTCATTTCAGTGAGATGCAAGTTTAGCCTCTAAATTATCTGCTGATTTTTGTGTGTGTGTGTTCTTTTTGGTTTGTTTTGGGTTTTTTGGGTTTGTGGGTTTTTTTTTTTTTGAGTTACTGTTTGGGGACTGTGGTATTGATTAGCTTTGCATGTTCTTTTAAATAAGAGATAAATCGCTGGTGCTTGTGGTTCTATTGTAATATTCCATAGAAAACATCACCTACAAACTTTTGGTTTTATTCCTGCCTGGAATTCTAGAGAAGGGAATATGAAAATTGGGATTTTTGGAAGAGGGCAGCACAAGAAAATATGGCATACATATGAGAATACAGTTTCTGCAGCAACCAAATCATATATACTTCAGATTGGATAATAGATATCTATGTTGCAGCAAAACCTGTGAATTATCTTTTTTTTTTTTTTTTCCCCCTTCCTCCCCAGTCGTTTTGGACACTTGATAAAAGTTTACCTTGTGGCTGGAAAAAATGTGGGCTATGCAAAATTTGCAGACAGAGCAAGTGCCAGTGATGCCATAACTGCGTTACATGGCAAGATTGTGAATGGTGTCAGGCTTAAAGTAAGGTTGGCAGACTCGCCTACAGAAGAATCTAACAAACGCCAGAGAACTTACTGAGCAGGTGAGTACCCAGTCTGAGCTGTTGTGTAAACTGAAGTTCAACTGCTTGAGCTAGTGAAAGGGAAAGTATTTTTAAGGTAGATATAAAGATGTAATGATAAACTTTAAATCTATTTTTAGCTAGCAACTTGAAATTTAATTTGTGAAATGTGTGTGTGTACATATATATCTATATGTGGGTATACGTATGATTGTGTATGCACATATACACGTTATTTTAGTAAAATCTATTTTTATAATTTTTGAACAAATATGAACCAGTCAGTTAACATCAATCTGGATGTTCGTAGAAATACTCAGTTTATGTACGTAAGAGTATCAGTTAACATTGAAAAGAGTGCAAAAAATAAACCATGGAACTGAAATCAGCTTGTCTGTGTCTTTCTTTCATCAAAACCATGTGCCCTCACAGTGGTGTTGGATAAAAGTGCAGAATTCAGTCCTTGAAGGGCAGAGGAGGGAGGGCGTAAATAAAAAAAGGACATGGGAAGGCTGCTAGGTGAAACTGAAGGTTTGGGTTATTCGGGTCATCTGGATTCTAAGAAATCGGGTGTAGCTGGAGTGTGTGATAGTGAAGAAAATATTGCAGGGCCTGTTGTGGGGGGATTGAGGTGTATGTTTAAGATAACTAGTTTGAGAATTTATTAGTTGAGGCTTATGGCCTATGAAAGCTGGCTGAGCTCCTAGAGAGATTTTATAGATTTTTAGAGACCAAAAGTCACTTGTCCTTTTAAAACATTGATTTGATTCAAATTAATAAAATGTCCCCTTCTTTTTCTTAACATTAGCACTATTACCAGAAGAGAATTATCATTGGGGGGGAAAGGCTAAGCCCTGTTTTCTATGAAATAACTCCCAAATGTTACTGTAGCTTCCAAATAATTTCAGTAGCCCTAGTATCTTTATAGGGGACATGCAGTTTTGCTTTAGCCCATTCGGGAAACATCACATGAAATCCTGACACTCTTCGCATCACTATTTTACTTCTAGAGCTTCACTCCTTGTACTTTTCTTTGTGTAGATACTCTTTCTGACCCAGGAGTTGCAAAGACCAAGAAAGATTTTGCCCACAGTCTTCTTTTCCTCCTTTTTTTCCTAAGGGCTTTCGTGTTGTTCTTTTGATAAACAGCAGTTACTAAAAGTGGCCTTAGTCTTTATACACAACTTTCTTTTTTAAAAAAACGTATTTCTGGCATTCTTTCTCTGCATCGAATTGAAACTAAAACTAATTTTATCTTTTTTTTTTTTTTTAATTGGCAGCTCTGGTGAATGCAATTTTGAGTAACTTGTACCCATGCTCTTATCTTTGTACAAAGGTTTTGTTTGTTTTTAACGTGACTTTTGCTTCCAATAATAAAAGGCCAGCATCTTGGTCACTACAGGAAAAACTGTTACGTAAAGTGTAATGTATTAGCAGGTCTGCCTTGACTACTTTTTACTAGAAAAGTGTGTGTATATATATACAATATGCATCCAAAATTAGAAAGATGATTTATCTTGACTTTTTCTTTCTGTGAAAGTGAGACGACTGGGAAATTCTTTTCTGATTGTCAATCTAAAACTGATTTTTTTTTTATTCACATGCATCCATGTGCACACGTACACAAGCACACATTTTTCCAGCGTGGTTTTTGAGAAGATTCTTCAAGGTCTCCAGCCGACAAAAAGTGCAGTTAGTCACCAAATGGGATTTTTAAAAGGCTAAAACTTACAAGTATTTCAAATCATGTATGAAAATTCTAATATATACCTGTCATAGACTATTGAGAAACCTGAGCTCCCTTATAAGATGAGGGTAAGACATACACATTAGCTGTTGTGCTGTTTTACCTAATTAGAAAACTGGAGAAATAAGGTCATGTTTGAAGAATAATGTTTTTACACACACAAAATTATAGCAGAGCTCTCTGTCCTTTCCTAAGTTTTTGCATTTCTGTAAATTTTCAGATATGAAGAGTACTAGTTTTAGTTTGTTCAAAGACTGAATGCCCTAACTCTGTCTTGGACAGATTACTTCTAATTGTGGTGCAAATGACTGCTGAATATTTCCCCTCTGGTTAAGCCTTTCATCTGCTGTGTCTGTGCAATTACACAGGTAGAAGAGCTTTCTAAATTTATCATGTTATATCTTGTTATATCCTGTACATCAGGTTCCTGATTCTGGGTCTCTTAGCAGTTTGTCTTAGCATCTAATCTCTTCTTAGGACAGACAAAATTACTTGCTCTTTTTGTCCTTTAGCCAGTTTCTCAAATTCAAACAAAATGGTACATAAAAGGAAGATTCCATCTGTGCTCCTTTTAAAAAGGGCTTGCCACTGTGTGACTCTGCATTGGACTGACTGACAAGTTTTGTAGTAGTTTAGAGACTTATATCTTGCTTTCAATTAAAGCTTTAAATTGTGTATGTGAAAGGGGATGGAATTCTCTCTACCTCTGAAATAGTACTTCTTTATTTTTTGAAGATGTGACAATATTAACTTTTGGGTTTTTTGAATTTTAGCTGGAGGAAGTAATCCTAGCTAAAACTTCTGTGAGTTTTTGCTTAAGGAAGTCATTGCCTCTTAAAAAAACCCCAGACCTTTCTAAACTCCTGTTGTATTGCTTGCATTTTATCGCTGACAAGCTGGCTGGATTTCTGTGATAGTCCTTTCTATACAAAGTTCTCTGATTAAGATCTGTGAATTCAGTAGAATCTATATGAAAATAGATTTAATTAAATTTAAATAAAATACTTGTTACTTCAATGCAGTTTTTATCTGACTTGGAAGTTTTTTCCTCAAGACTTTTCTTACGTAAATAGTTATATATAATTTATAAAATTATTTCTTAATGTTTTATGGTAATGGTATGCTACTGATAATACTCTTGCAATGTAAACTTCTGATCATAAAAACAGTCTATTATCTTACAACAGTCTTTGTTTATCGGGAGAATTTGATTACATGCATATTAATATTCTAAACTAATCAGTCTAATGAATTTTGCAGGCTCTGGCTCTCCTACAAGTCAATGAAAATGCAATTGTTTATATGAGTAGTTAAAAGTAGCAGAGAAATGGTGGAAATACAGACCAATAAGGTTCTCGTAACTACTTTTAAGTTCTAATGTAAGTTGTGGGGTTTTTTGGGTGAGGTTCTCCACTCTTATGCTAAGTAAGTACTAATGGTTGAAATAATCACTTTAAACCCTCTTGCCTTGACTTGGTAGTCTTGAGAAGACAACTACAGTGCCTACTTCTAGGTAGGTGCTAAAAGCAGAAGCTGTCAGTGTTCTTGGTGTTGACCAGCTTGTGCTCTCTACTCAGGTTTTTGCATTGCTTTGAGTATTTCATGAGAACCTCACTGCAATTACCTGATGCCTGTTGTGTAAATTATGTCACTCAAAAATAGAAGAGGAAGGAAAGAATTTGGTATCTTTTAGAAGAATGTATTGTGGAACTCTGATGGAACTCTTCATTGCA